CTGCAGAGAGGGGGAAAGGAGGAGGTGGGTTAGTACACAATCATTTATCATTTATGACAGGCGAATGGAAATCAGCCCAGTGTATGATGATATATGTCATTATTAGAGAGAACGGTTTCTATTTTATTCACCGTAAACTATTGATCAGAGTCAGCATATGTCACTGTTTACAGGTACAATAACATGTTGCATAGCTCACTTTAAATACACCTGTTTTTAAAGTTTCCTCACCTACTTTTTCACAAATGCTCATTTCTTTTCCAAAATGCCCTCACTTTTCACAAAAGTACACTTTCTAAAAATGTCCCGACTTTTGAAAAGTGCAAAATGTGTTCAAAATATTAATATAAAAAAAACCATTTTCCAAAATGTCCCTGTTCTCATTTTACACACATGTTAACAAAATATCACTTTCTCTCTTTCAGGAAAAGCTTTTTTTTTTTTTGCAAAAGTCTCTAATGTCCATGAATGTCCCCATAATCCAAAAATGTCCATATTTATTCTTGCAGTTGTCTTGAAATTTGGACTCCCAAACACAGAAATACATCATCTTACACACACACACACACACACACACACACACACACACACACACACACACACACACACACACACACACACACACACACACACACACACACAGCCGACAAAGGCAGATAGCTTATCTAACAATCTGTCATCACTGAGTGGGGACAGAGACACTGTAACAGTGAGTTTGTGTGTGAGGTCAGTAATGGACAGCTGGTGACAGATCCAAACTTCCTGCGGCTGCTTGAAACACACCCCCACACAGTGTACACACAAACACACCCACACCCACACACACAGAGTCTCTCAGTGGGGTGAAAGCTTTATTAACGGCCGTCACTACGGTAATTAATTGTCTTGTGAATGACAGGAAGACCATTAGCTCCACAGGAAGTGGACCAAAGCGCAGCGGTCGCCAGCAGCTACCGTGGAGACCGTGTGTGTGTGTGTGTGTGTGTGTGTGTGTTTGGGATAAAGGCCAAGTGTGACTGTGAGTCTCTCAGCAAACCCTCGACATTTAACCAAGCACATCAGCCATCGGCTGCACTAGAAATACCCAAACGAGCACAACGGCCCAGACACACCATCACACCGACACATCAAACAAACTTTATTTATTAAGCAGATTTCATGTGGAAGACTTGATGTTTCCACAGATGTGATTATATGATCCATTCTGATGCTTAGATCAGTGATTTGTAGGTTTGGAATTAAACATTTCTAACCAGGAAACAGCAGGAAACTCTAATCAAAGATTCCTCTTCCAGGAACACCTGTCCCTCTGATACACAGGATCTGTACCAGCAGAAGCAGAAAGGCTGCAACTGTTTCCACCTTATGAGTGCTTGTGCTTTTCATCATGGTGAAATGTGGCCCTGGAGTCCACTGCTGTAGCACGAATTACAGCCGAGGCTATTCTGAATGCTCTGCCATATGTTTATATGTCTGTATGCAGATTTTCAATCATAAAACTTTAAAAGTGTGCAGCTGAGATTAAAATTAAGGCTCGTGTTAAGGAAGCGTGTAGTCCAGCTTGTGAGTACTGAGTACTACTGAGTCCCAGATATACATGTAATGTTTTTGCAACCCGATATATGGGGTATTTATCGGGTGTATTACATTTGTTTTGGGGTTTTTTCCAGTGACGGTGTTTCTGTTATCAGTTTGTAAATTGGTCTCCAGTTTTTCTTATGATATTGCATTGACCAAATTCAGCTTGGATCCTTTTTACTGTCAGTGATTGATGAAAACTGTGAGGTGTAGAGTTTGACTGAAGTGGAGCGTGCTGCATAAGTCTGAGAGAAAGTTTGTTACTCTTACCTGGGCTTAGGTTACAATTCATCATAGTTACAGCTATACGATTTAAATGTTTCGAACGTTTTACTTTCATGGGATAAAAAATTGCCAAACACGCCATTTTGGAAAGAAAATGCTGGCACAGCTTTTCAACATTTCTATGACATTGTACAGACTGTTCCAGAGGAGGAACATATTAACATATTAAACATAAAAAAGGTATGTCCCAATTCGAAGGCTGCTCCAAATGCGTCCTCCTTTTCCCCAGATTTGAAGGATGGGCCGGGTGTATCTTTCGTGGCCCAACCTAGCGCAGCCCAGCCAATTCCAGTTTCCAACAATGGCGGCAGCTACTTAGTTTTAATATTACTCTTATTACTCTGTCTGGGTCACAAATAAACGTTTAACATATTTTCAGGCTAGAATGTAGCTGTGTAAACTTCAAATATCTGCTCGGTTTATCAAGACATCACATATTTGTAAAAGTCCCATTTCTGTCTCGGTCTTCGAAGGACCCGGCCCACGTAGACGGCGAAGGCCGGGTCCTCCGAAGCATGCGGCCTATGAGTTGGGACATAGCTAATGTTTCAGTTAAGGTCACTGTGAATGATCCCAAAGCTCAAGTTGCAGAATGTTTTGCGTACTCTTGAGTCTATATGATGCCACAAAAAGGGGACATCCCCAATGTCGTCATCACATCTCTAACTGTGAGCGCTGAACCTCCACCTGCTGTTCCAACCTCCTGTTTGTGAGGAGCAGCCAGTTTAGAGAAAGTTGGCTTAAAGGGGGAGGAGCCAAAATGGCTCGTTACAGAAAGAGGACGAACTGAGGAGCCAGTATAAGAGCCGTAATGATAATTATGAATATTAATCATGCAAAGCGTCTCTAGCTATAGCCTTAGCAGACTGTATTTTTCCTCTTCAGAGGCTCATATGGATGCAGCGAAGGCTTCGAGGCAGAGCCGTCTTCTTGCATCTGTATTGCCTCAGCTGCAACAGCGCCAGCGTTGGGCCTGTCAGAGGCTGAGCTCATGAGCACCATGGTCCTTGATTAAACTAATGTCCACTTCACAGGACTCAGAGAATTTTGCTGCTTTCTATATTTCTCTGCACTGGAGATCAACAGGTGAGTCCCGTCTCACACATTCAAACCTCTTATCTTATTCTCCTTTTAGCATGTTTACACAGTGGGTGGGGTTTAGCTCAGGGTGAGGTTACACTTTGGGGGTAAAAGAAAACACAAAATCGCACAACTGAATCAATGGAACTAAATCCACACAGATGTCCTTCGTTCATTCCAGTGCACGTTTTTGTTCCCCATCTATGCACTGACTGTGACAACTCCAGAAACCGGCTCCTTGTTTCCTGCACAGCTTCGCCTTATCTCTACTCGTTTAGTATTGCAGTTATCGCACAAATACTCTCTTATTCTGCACTGAGTCTACAAAGGCGGCTCTTTTATTGCACTGAAGTGTGATTTGTAAGCTTACATGCTATATAAACACTGAGCTTATCATTAGCAGAGTCTGGAAAACAGAAAGGATTGGCTTTTGTGGCCTAGTGTTTTCAGCTATTATCATCAACATATCATCAGCTTTTAAATTATCTTAGCAAACTGTGTTTTCAGTTATGTTCTGCAAACACACAGTGATCATTAGCAAAATGATTATTGGGTGTTTCAGTGGCTTTTAGAGCTTTTACTCTGAGAACAGCTGCCTGCTGCAGTTATAAAAACAGCCAGAGTCAAAACACTAACATTGTGGGGAGACAGAAAAACATGACCCGAGACTGAATCCAAGATCTGTGAAGTCCAAATCAGCTGCAGAACAAGCTGAGGATTCTCTGTGGGTTAATCGTTACTAGCGACACCTGAACACTGCCAAGACATACATCATTTAATTAAAACACTGACTTTAAGCACTTTAAGAGGAGACAGGTAGGAAAGCCCCTCTGATGAAAACGTGGACCACTAAATTCCACATGCAGAGATTAGCAGTTTTCACACGCGCACCTTAACATCTGTACACATTACTCAGTGGTGCTGCATTCAAGGTCCAAAGACAGCGCACTAAAATGTTCTTGTGGTTTAATAAAATGAATTTTAATGCAGAAAAGGTTCAAAATTTATCAGAATTAAAGGATGTTCACAGATTTTACTGGGCGTCACATCTGCTACCTCCTCCTTCTCTATTCAGTTAGCTCATGTAAACCCCACAGAGCGTTTCCAATAATGCAAATGAGCTGAAAGTGGACTACATCCCCCACGAGTCAAGGGTGGAAATCTGAAGTCTGTTTGAATTTCTAATAAAATTAAACCCTGCATCATCCACAAGGATTCAACAAAATATGAAAGGAGAAAATAATCTATGTATTTGTTCCCAGGTTTTTGTGTTATTGTGGAGTTCTAGTTTACATTTAGATTTTATTGTTATTCCCCTTCTGGTTTTAGTGTCATCAGTGTTTCCCTGACTTCGCCTCTGTCCTGTCTTAATCCGGTCTTTAAGTCTGACGTCATTCGCCGTTTCCAGGTCCAAACTGCGCTTCAGGTCCCAAAGTCAAACTAACACTGCAGCATCACTGAGAGTCACAAACTATCTAAATTCTGCATCCATCCATCCATCTTCATCCGCTTTATCCGGGACCGGGTCGCGGGGGCAGCAGCCTAAGCAAAGAGGCCCAGACCTCCCTCTCCCCAGCCACCTCCTCCAGCTTATCCGGGGGAATACCAAGGCGTTCCAGGCCAGCCGAGAGATATAATCTCTCCAGCGTGTCCTGGGTCTGCCCCGGGGCCTCCTCCCGGTGGGACATGCCTGGAACACCTCACCCAGGAGGCGCCCAGGGAGCATCCTTGTCAGATGCCCGAACCACCTCAGCTGGCTCCTTTCGATGTGGAGCAGCAGCTGCTCTACTCTGAGCCCCTCCCGGATGGCCGAACTTCTCACCCTATCTCTAAGGGAGAGGCCAGCCACCCTTCGGAGGAAGCTCATTTCTGCCGCTTGTATCCGCGATCTCGTTCTTTCGGTCACTACCCACAGCTCGTGGCCATAGGTGAGGGTAGGGACGTAGATCGACCGGTAAATTGAGAGCTTCGCTTTTACACTCAGCTCCCTCTTCACCACGACGGACCGGTGCAGCGTCCGCATTACTGCAGCTGCAGCCCCAATCCGTCTGTCGATC